CTATGGGGATGCGGGTGAAGCCCCTTGCAGAAGCTAGTATAATAATGCTAACATCTACTTAAACCGCTTGAATATGGGTGTATAAGACACAATAGAAAATGCATTGTGTATCTCGCGTTTAGGCTCACGATGGGTTAATACTTATGGCAAATAAAGTAACGTTTCCTTGAAGGGATAAGCAGAGAGGCACATATTAGAATACAATGTGACACCCACTCTTCACCTGATGTGTATGACCTGAAGGGATGGCTTTGTAACGCACAACGTAACTGGAGAAATTGGATGATGACAGGGTATGAAAATTAAAAATATAATTAGTCCGTAAGTTAGGTAATAAAAAATATTAGACACATATTTTTTTATTTTGTCGTATAACAAAACAATACTTAGATAAAACAAATCAAAGTTTAGGAGTGGGGGCTAAAACGTCATTTCTACGTATAAAATGTACATAGAAGTGACACATTTCAAATCTGTTTTTCAAAAGTTTCTGGAAGAAATTCAAAAATACGTGTCTAATGATTTAAAATAATCTACCAGAAGACATTAAAATAAAAATTAGTCATCTATCCTAATGTGTAGCAAGTGACTTATAGCTTTAAATGCTATCCGAAGTACTAAAATGAAACACTAAGATACGGACAATACAATAACAAGACTATATTACCAAACTAAAACTAAAAAGAGGTTGTTAAAGGAATAAGAACGCTGTCTATCATAACATCAAGTTTGTGGGGCTTAAAGCCGAATTTTAAAAGGCTACTCAATTTTAAATTGTACATAAATATCGTTCCATCTCTGTCATTTGACAAAGAATTTGTAGTGACATAACTATATTAAAGCGCGAATTAAAATCAATTGACATTTAAGTATTTCAGGGTTAGTTAAACACAGACAAAACAATCAATTCGCTAGTCAGGATATTGTACGTTAAGTTCATATCAGATACAACTCAAATCCGTGACAAAGAGATAAGTCGCGCAACAATAGCAACTGGAAAATACGGTTCCTGAGATCAAAGTGGACGGAGCACTGAAAATGACAGTGATGTACGTAACAACAAATATTTCGTTGTTCCTATTCCAATACATGCAACTACATTGGAACGAAATATTCCGTTGCAGCAGGTGATTCAAATTCCAATACATTTTCCAATTTTCCACATATTTCGAGTCGGATTTTTAGCCCTCACAATACTTTCTTATCTCTAGTGCAAAAAGCCTCGACGCCAACACTTCAAACTGTTTGATTTGAAATGTAAATATTGGACCTGAACACTTGTGTCAAACACACGGCTTAAAATAACATGTAATCTGAAAACCCGTCTGTATTTCGCTTCTATGTGTATTCAGTATTGTTGATATCGATATCTGGGTGATTTTTAAAAAACTTTAGTATTAATTGCTGACTTTTGCAAAATAAATTGGTAAAAAGTATTGAACTGACTTCAAAAAAATCCTGGTATTTATTTATTTATTAACTCTTTAATGCACACAAAAATAACGTACATAAGGCGGACTTAATGCCATATGGCATTTTCTCCCAGTCAACCTTGGCTGAACCGATTTCATTTTTAGTTTTCAGAAAAGTTTCTGGTAACTTAGGAGAAAGTTTTAGCATATTAATTAACTGACTTCAAAAAGAGATTGTTTTTATAGTAGTTTGTAAAAACATGTTAACTTTTGACATTTGTATTTTGGCAATTGTATTGGTGTAAACAAATGTTGGTAAATCATACTATATAATAGGTAAATAAACTTCTAAAAGTAATAAATGGGTATTGCAAAATCAACACAAGCAACATTAATTCATTAAACATGAAAATATTTCGTAGTAAAGACATTGGTTAAAGACACATACATAACACAACATCACGCCTTTTATCCCCGAAGGGGTAGGCAGAAGTGCACATTTCGACATAAAATGCCACTGTACAATGTAACACCCACTTTTCACTATTTATGTTATGAGTCCCATGTAATAGGGGGTGAGCCTATTGCCATATACCGGGCACATTTTCCAGACTCCGTGCTACTATTGTGATTTTTAAAAACCCAGTAATACTTTGCCCGACCCGGGAATCGAACCTGAGACCCCTGAGTCGCACTTGCGGCCACTCTTCCAACGAGGCAGTCTCTACTTATGACTATGACTATTTATGATTAAAGACTATTAAACGATAGTAACTATCTACTTTTATTATAATGGATTCACAAATTTAGTATTTTTATCACTAACAATGAAGATATTCAAAACAAAACCAACCAATTAATTCATAATTATGACGCAAACTTTGACAGCTGGTTGAAATGTGCGACTGGCTTTGTTCCCCTTTATGTGTCGGTGAAGGGGCCTGTCAGACTCGTACAGACTTGCCGAGGGAGCTTGTTCACTCAATCATTCCCCCGATCCCTCCACAGACACGTACGAGTATCTACTAATCTACAAAAAGTTGTTTTTATGTTTCGAAGACTCTTCGATAGGTTCTGAAATGTATGGGAGCTGGAGAGATGTATTCATTTTATAGTACGGTATCTACTGAGACCCCAAAAGGACTTTATTACTGAACTCTTTTCATCTGTGATTGGTGAATACTTGACGTGAACACAAAGTGTGTCCTTTTGAAATGGAAATATTTCCTTTAACAAACAGAAAACAACATTTTTTGGTGGCCTAGGTGTATAATCTTTTTTTTTTAATAAAAACCACTTTGCCCCACACTAGGATATTCTCCTATGTTCTACATGACACCCAGACCCGGAATAATAATCTATAGATCACACAAAGAATAGGGTAGATTCCTAATTTTTATTTTAATATCCATCTGGTAGATTATTTAAAATCATTAGACACGTATTTTTTATTTTCTTACGGAAACGGATACTTTCGACGATATATTGATTTGAAATGTCGCAAGATATCACTTCTATGTACATTTTATACGTAGAAATGACGTTTTAGCCCCCACTTCTAAACTTTGATTCGTTTTATCTAAGTATTATTTTATTATACGACAAAATAAAAAAAAAACGTTTCAAATATTTTTTCATTACCTAACTTACGGACTAATTAGATTTTTAATTTTCATACCCCGTCATCATCCCAATTGTTCCGTGTGGGAATCGAACTCGCGACACGTTGAGCGGCTACCGGTTGCCCAGGCAACACGCCAACCGTGCAGTCAAAATTTAAACACGCAGTTAGCCAGAATTTTTATAAAATATCGCTGAGCAAAAGCTAAAGTTAGATCCATATATATTTTTACATGCCTTCAAACTCCTTCCTCGAAAAGACAAACTATTAATAATTTTATAAACTTGTAAACTTCTTGAAGTGTTGCTAAGACCAAAAGTGGAACACGGATTGAACTTTGCTGTCGAATGTACCCAAGTGGAGTAACTTCACGACAAACTAGAAGTTAGTTTATCAGATGTTTTGAACCTTCTGTGCTAATTAAAAGCTTACCAAGTCGAGTAGGTTTCATTTATAAAATGACCAATTAAAAATCCTTAAGAAACGTAATTGAGTCTAAGCATTTCTTGTTTTTGTTAACATTTTTCCGCTCATTGAAAATGAAATTGCATATTTAGAGCCAGCGAGCAGCCGGAATTTATAAAATGATTCATAATTTAATGTTGAATGCTATTTGAATTTATAAAATTATACCGTTTAGCTTATGAAAATGTGGTTGTAGAATAATTCGTAGTAGGGCGTAAAATAATTCCTGTATTTGATAACTGGTGATTTTCTTCTAAAATAGAGAAAACGGTGTCATTATCTATTTATGTATTCTAGTATATTTTGGCTAATTTATTCGTTTAAATAAACACAATTATTTAAATTACATGTAAATATATCTACTGAAACGTATTTTGTATTTGTTTTTCAATAAGTAAGGTACAAGTAAATTGTAGTCTATGAGACGACAAGTTATTTGCGTGCTTTCTTGGAAAACAGGTTACCTATTCCCCCAGTTCATTTGTACAAATGACATAGAATCATAAATATAGTACAAGCTGTCTGAAGCCTTATTTACGATACGTACGCACTGAATATTTGTTTGTAGTCTAGACAATATGTTACATTAATTATTATTTAATATTTATTATTTAAATTGCCTATTTTTAGCTAGGGGTTGTAAATTAAGTACCGAACGAAAAGCTAAAATCTATGAGAAATCAATAACAGCATGTAGTTACGATAAAAATTTGTTGATTTTATCACACTACAAATAATACAGCGTCCAACGTACCTGATAGGCAGGTCCATAAAGAATGTAATAAAATCCTGTTGTCATTGTCATGTCATATTTCGAATACTCAATACACGGTCCACATAGTTGATTGTATTATTAAAAACTGCGTATCCAACATTTTTCTCGCCTGATTTACAAAAAATGTGTAGGTATGATATAACTTGCCATTTGCCATTAATTAAAATATCCTTAAAAACTAACCTATAACATAACATAACATCACGCCTTTTATGTGCACATTGCGGCACTTAATGCCACTGTACAATTGAACCCACCTTTCATTATATATACATATTATGAGTTCCAAGTATGGAGTGACCCTATTGCCATATACCGGGCACAATTCCTATCTCCGTGCTATTACTGAGAATTTTTAAAAATACTTTGCCCGATCCGGGAATTGAAATAGGCGGACTTAATCCCGTAGGCATTCTCTGACAGTCGACCATTGGGTGGTGTGTAGAATGTTAAAGCGGTAGATGCAAAATTATAGTAAAGAAAATATAAAGTAGATAACAGAAGTCAATGTAATAAAATATTAAAATTATTATAATTCATAATACATAACTAAGGAAGGTATAGGGACTTATCATAAATATTAATTAATTTATATTAATACCTAAATTGTAGTTCAATGTATGCCTTTTTACGTAACATATAAATTAGTGAACTGTATGCAGGTGTATTGTGGAAATTCTAGTAATTCACACAAACGAGGTAAATAATAAGAATATGTTGATTACAGGTGTAACAGCCGGCGGCGGCGGCTGGGAGCCCCTAGGGACCCCTTACTTCGACAACAGCACGAAGCGTGAAGCCACCGCCGCCGTGGGCCAGCCCGCCTACCTACACTGCAGAGTACGAAACCTGGCTGATAGAGCGGTAAGACAGCTTATATTGAACCCTATTAGTGTCAAAAAAGGAAATAATATTGTTAAGAGAAACCGTAGCCAATTTTCATTTTTTCAAAGCCTTTTCAATTCGTTTCCATGAGATCTTAAGGTTGGTTTTTGTAAGATATTTATTTTAAACTAAGGTATAAGTTTAATATAAGTATTTTATTAGTGTACTTTAAATTAAAATACTGCAGAGTACGAAATTCGGCTAGCATAGAGCGGTAAGACAATTTAGATTGAACCTTATTAGTGTCAGATATTTATAAAAAGAAATAATGTTGTGAAGAGAAGAGAAACATACCTACATTATATGTAAGTTTTTTTAGCAAATGCATTTAGCTCACACCTCTTATAGGCCTCGTTTACGTCGGGCATCCGTCGTACATTGCTCATATCTTTGTGTTTACGCGAGCGATGACGCGGCCCACTGCGGCAAAGTTCGACGAAAACCCAACACGTCGCGTCTCCGGAAATGAGACCTTAGTGATCGAACTAGATGTACTGTAATAATAGTCTGTTCTATAGATATTTTGTTGAAGATCTTGACAAACATCATTGCATGCTGACCAACTGTTACAATTGTTACAAAATGCTCGTGTATATTAAAACTAGTTGGTAGGTGGCGTCCTTTCATAGACGAAGGCATAATTTAACTAAATAAATGTTCGTATTGATTTTCGTAAAAGCTTCTTCGAATCTATAGGCTTGTTTCGGGGTTTCCAACAAAAAATTACTTCTTCATTAAATCCGAGTAGAAAACAAAAGCTGACTTATTGCCTATCAAGTAATTTAATTACAAGCATAATAAGATACTGAGATAGAGAGAGGTACGTCAGTGAGATTCCCAGAATTCATATAATACATTTTTACAAAAACAACTTTAGTCTGAATATTAGAGTATACAATAATAAATTTCTTTTGGTTACATGACGCACAAAAGACCGAGAAAATCACTTCATTCTGAAACAAAATATTGGCAAAATCACTTATCTATATTTTAAACTTTGTCTCCAAAGTCGTTGGGGCTGGGTATCTTAAGGACAAAATCCTAAAATGTACAAAATATTTGGATTGAAAAAGTTTACAGTGTTAAGACTTCTCTTTACCCTTTCCGGTATGGTTTAAAAAAGGATTTAAACCTAGCAAGAAAGTAAAAATTACAGTTTCACTTATTGAAAACATTGAATTTAAAAAAGACCGTGGAGGACTGACGACTATTTGGTCCTCAAAATGAACTATACAACGTACTATACTCAATTAACTAAAAATAGCAGGTTACTCAGGTGAATATATGGAGAAAAGCTCTACTAGTTTCAAACCACTTCGCGCAGCGTACTGGCCAGCGTTGGCGCTTTCATCGAGGTTATTACTTGGGAGCCCACCTCCCCCTCTCCCGTACACCACGCGCGTTTGCTTCCAACTCCGGCGCGTGCGATGATGTTGAAGCGCAAACACTAGTAGAGCTTTTCTCAGTATATTCACGTGTGTAACCCGCGATTTTTATTTAATTAAGTATAACTCTTTTTTACACGATGAAAAACGTATAAAAAAATCCTACAAAACTTAAATTAATTTATCTCTCGTACCCTTTAAAACCCTTTTCGCTACACACTATAGGTATAATAACAATACAAGTATAGCAGAAAATAATTTTGTATTTTGTACGAGTATAAATTTAGTCAGTACCTATGTTAGTTTGATTTCATTATGCGAAGTGCTTTGTGAACAAATCCATAAAAGCGTTGGAACTGATGCGTGGAAATGATAAGCTAATGTGACACTTTTATGGTTCTTTATAGAGTGCTATGATATCACAGTTGTTATCAGATTAGAAGTACAGTTTAAATGTGTCATTTAAGTTTACAGTTGCAAAACTGTCTTTGTTTGTAGGGTCTGCATTAACTTTACTGCAGTGAAAGCCTAATAGATTTGTACCATTCATTGTTTTGAATGCCATGACTTCAAAATGACAGAAATAGTTTTATGGTTCGCCTATTTATTGTTATTTATATTATAATATTGAGGTTATTGATGAACACTAGGAATCACTTTAGAATACGCATTATTTTATTACATACTTAAAGCAATCCAAGACATGCATGGGTGAGCCATGCTTCATACCACGGCCTCACAGAAAACTAACGTGAAAAAACGCTTGCGTTGTGTTTCGTCGTGTGAGTGCGGTTACCGAACGCCCAATTATCCCCCCCCCCCTCTTCCTAGTCCCCCAATCCCAGAATCTCCCACAATCTTCAAATCTCAAAAGGCCCGTAAGGTACTTGTAACGCCTCTGGTATTTTAGGTGTCCATGGGCGGTGTCGTTTGCTTACCATCAGGTGATCCGTCTACTAGTTTACCGGCTTATCCTATTAAAAAAATTAACTGACAGTCACACCAGAGCCTCAACCATTCGGTCACATGCGATAAGAAACATAAAACAACATCATTAAACGAGGCAACCCGTCTCCAATAAGTAAACATTGCATCAATACCTCACATTCATTTTCCCAGAAGACTAGTACGGGAAACTTTAGCATAAAATTGTATATTCAAACCAAAAGGCTGCATAAACATCTCGATAGACATTAAAACTAAGAGGAAAGGATTTTATCCGCAAGTAGTTACCGCAAACGGTACTCCCCTGAGATGAAATAGATAGTATCCATCTTCGCTTACCTACTTCACAAGACGTTCGCATATTCCACTATGCATTTATTTAGATTTTCACTCGTATTCATTTTATCGATACGAAGGCATCTCTGCTAACGTAAGCGGAGAATTTATGTTGCTTCGTAGATATTTTGACATTTTTTATTAAATTTATTTATACGTTTGAGACTGGCTGACATTTGTTTTAGTTACATTTTATTATTTGGCTAGCAAAGTAAGTAAAGTACTCTTCACGAAGAAGGAATAATACCTATCTGTGTAAAGATAATTTAAGAACCTATAATTAATGTGGAATTATTAAAGAAGTATACATAAGTAATGTATTTAAGTAACCAGTGGTGCTACAGACCAATAAAATGTTTTACTTCATAAGTTTATAGCTGTTTCTGCTCTTCGTTTTAAAATAGACCTCTTGTCATGCAATTGTATTGCCAACCTTCCTATATATCGTAGGTACATCATATCTGTATAATACGCGTATCAACGTAACTACATCGTTTCAAATATGAGCCAATTTTCTTCCGAGCTATTCGCATAAACCTGATGACTGTACTTGCGTCCTTTTCATAGTATGTAAGTATAGTCAGCCAACTTATTTGGTTACAGGTTAGAACATAAGGATTAATTCAGTACAGAGATAGGAGCTATTATTAAAATAAATATAAGTGTGGGAGAGCCATGCTTCGACACGAATGGACCGGCTCGACCGGAGTGATACCACGGCCTCACAAATAACTGACGTGAAGCAACTCCTGCGTTGTTTCTTCGTGTAAGTGAGGTTACCGGAGGCCCAATATCCCTCTCCTTCCCCAATCTCCCCAATTCCTGAATCCCCAATGATCCTCAAACTCCTAATCCCCAATAGGCCGGTAACGCACTTGTAGCGCCTCTGGTGTTCTAGGTGTTCATGGGCGGCGCCGATTGCTTACCATCAGGTGATCCTTGTGCTCGTTTACCGGCTTATGCCATAAGAAAAATTGTACCTATGTTTATCAACAAATCCGTATGTTTTGTAAGCATTGGTCGCTTCAGTAGCCAATCGATAGACACTGTCTCTATAATGAATCAATCTTTATTTTCTTCCCTGCATATTTAATAACTTGGTACATAGAAAGGTCGTGAGACTCTTCAATATGGGACAAGTAGGTAGGTACCTAATTCTTTCGTTATCGCATTTGAATTTAAAATAACGTGTTATGGAGGAAATTTTTGCTCGTTCCAGCTCGACCCAGTGTGCATTTATGTTCTATTAAATGGTACTTTGTTTTTATTGTAATATTTTACCGTATTATTACGTAAGTAATTCGTAAGAAGCAAAAGAAGGAATATTATATCCAGTTTCTATGCAGTTTGGCGTAACTTAACATAACATAACATCACGCCTTTTATCCCTAAAGGGGTAGGAAGAAGTGCACACAGAAGTTACACCCACTTTTCACTATTTATGTTATGAGTCCCATGTAATAGGCGGTGAGCCTATTACCATATACCGGACACAATCCCAGACTCCGTGCTACTACTGAGATTTTTTTTAAAACCCAGTAATACTTTGCCCGACCCGGGAATCGAACCCGAGACCCCATGACCGGCAGTCGCACTTGCGACCACTCGGCCAACGAGGCAGTCGTAACTTCTTATAAGAAAATCGGTATAAAAATGAAAGTTTACTTGAGAATTTCCATAATTGTGTTTCTTCTTAAGCAACTTTAAAAGGAAAAACGAGATTCTCAGATAATATGTATGTATGTTTGTGCGTGATTATCTCGCGATTGGCTGAACCATCTTTGCATTGAAGTCGGGTTTTCAAAAAAGTATTTGTTACACTTTCCTAAGTATATTAAGTGTGGGAGAGCCATACTTTGGCACGAATGGGCCGACTCAACCGGAGTGATACCACGGCCTCACAGAAGACTGACGTGAAACAACGCTTGCGTTGTGTTTCGTCGTGTGAATGAGGTTACCGGAGGCCCAATTAACCCCCCCTCCCCCCCTCTTTTCCCAATCCTTGAATTCTCAAATTCCTAATCCCAAAAGGCCGCTAACGCACTTGTAACGCCTCTGGTGTTCCAGGTGTTCATGGGCAACGCCGATTGATTACCATCAGGTGATCCGTCAGCATGTTCACCGGCTTATCCTATAAAAAAAATTACCGACTACAAGAACAGAGGCGGTTGAAGTCGTTTTTTTTTAAACGTAGTTAATAAAAAAGTTATTCCTTGTTTCATTTCTACCCATTCTCTCATAAGAATTACCTATTCTTATTTATTTAACACCATCAATTAGTATTGCCTATGATTACATAGGCATCAATAATAT